CGAAGGCGGGCAGGTTGGGCCTGGCCCTGGATGTGTTCTCGTGGAAGAAGGCCGTAAAAATGAGGTTTTAATGGAAAATGTGAAATATTTCACCGCTCTGTTTAGGTTTTGTTTTCCTTGAGGTATAATTTACACAGAGTAAAGGCATAGGTCTGAAGTCTGTGGTCTGGGATCAGGGAGTTCTGGCAGCTGTGTCTTGGCTGTTTATCAAGGTGTCCACCCACAATAGGCAGCTGGGGACAGTCACGCTCAGCCCAGACTCGAGGACCTCGCCTCTGCCCAACCTCTACTCGGCCCCCTGCTCGCTCCTCCCCACCAGACTTGGTGACTCAGCCTTCACGCCCTGCCTTCTCTACCGCAGCTCTGGGGTGGGGGCGCCCAGGACTCGGGGACCTATGGTGATTGAGGTCACGACCACGTTGGATTACGGAGGCCAAGGCCAACCCCTGGTCACTGAGGCCACAGCCAGCCCTTGGAGGATGGCCGAGGCTGCCCTTCATCATCATAATGATCCTGGTGAGCTACCCATGACCCCATTTGGAACCCTCATGATTATTTTCATTTAGATGACTGCTTTGTTTAACGTTTACCACTGATGCGAGAGACCGTCTTGGCTCCCTTTCCAGCTAAGAGGCCAGAGGTTGCAGGTGCACAAGTCAGACAGCTGGCAAGTGGGGGAACCAGGCCTGTGCTCTCCTGGCCCACTCCAGACCCGTCTGCTCCCCCTGTCACTGTCTTGCCCCAGGGTCTGCGCTGAGCTGTGAACTGGGCCTTGTAGGGCAAAGTGCAGCCCCTGAGAGCTTCGGGGACCCCACACCCAGGGGAGGGCTGAGACCACGGCCCTGCCCGCACTGTGCAGCACGGGTTTGGGGCTTCTCCTGCCCGTGTCACCCACCAGGCCAGGCCTGGCTGGGACTCGGACTCCGCTGCCTCAAGAAACCCTCATATCGCCTCCTACCGTGGCTCTGTCCTGCAAGCGGAGATGGCCGTGTGCAGCACCGTGACCATGCAGTCAACACTAGGGTTGTTTGCACCAGGAAGTCAGCTGATAGTGCCCTCCTCAGACTGCAGCCCATTATGAGGCGGCTTGGGGCTGTGCCGTGTGGGAGTAGAGACCCCGCTCAAGGGGGCTGGACCACCCAGATTTCAAACTCTGCCCCTGCTCTTCTTTTTTTTTTAACAGTACTAGAGATTGAACCCAGGCCTTCCACATGCCAGGCAAGCGCTCTGCCACTGAGCTATATCCCCAGTCCTTTTTATTTGGAGATAGGATCTCAGTAAGTTGCCCAGACTGGCCTGGAACTTGTGATCCTCCTGCCTCAGCCTCCTGAGTAGCTGGGATTATAGGTGTAAACCACTGTGGCCAGCTCTGGCTCTGCTTTGCATTGTGTGACCGTGGTGCAGTCATTTAACCCCTGTGCTACAAACTCCTCATGTGGAAAGTTGGGGTGATAATTATAGGACCAACTTCTTAGGATTATTTTGAGAATCAATCTAGTGAAGATGTGTAAAAAGACCGTGGGGGTCATAGTGTGAACTCAGGAAGTATTAGCAAAGGCATAATTGTTACTATAATATATAATAATTATACTGTTATTGCTATTGAGACCGTGGCTTGGGGGGGCTGGACTTACATTCCTATAACTCACTGAACACCTTAGAGGTCTCGCAGATTGCTTCCGTGTTATTAGGTGACTGCTTGCTGCTCCAGCCAGTAAGTCCACTTTTCAAGATAAAAGGGGATGACAGGGCAAAGCCATTTTTTCTTACAGAGCAGTCTTCCCCCGGGACGTTTTTCTAGACCTCACTGGGCTGAACTAGGTCACATGGGTAACCTTAACTGCAAGGCAGGCCGGGAAATCATGCTTTTAAAAGCAGGACTTCGCTCTTGGCAGACTAAAGAAGATGAGCTACAGAAGGGCAGGCTGTATCCCCCTGTTGCCACCAAGTGCCACAGTCCTCTGAGCGGGCACCCTGTACCCTCTTGCCTTTGGGGAAGAGGCTCCTGGGGGCCCCACCCCTGGCCTGTCTGCTGGACGGGTTGCCCTGGGGCAGCACCATTGGTGGCTGTGAGCGTGGCCTCCGCAGCAGGCAGAGAACTCTGCTGAGTCTGGGGCTTTTAGGGACCTGCTTCTCTGCCTCTTCCTGCCCCCGCTCCGGGTCCCAGCATGCTGTGGTTGCCCGGCATCGGCGGAAAGGTACACAGTCACTCCTGGCTTTTCTCTCCTTGGGCATGGGCCAGAGCGGTTTCTCCGGAGACAGCAGCTCCTTCCTGCGCAGCGCTCCTGCCCTCGGAGCCCATGTTGCACCCGTGCGTAATAGATACCCTTTCTCCTTTCTTCATCCTGGGCTGTGCAGACCCTGTCCCCCAGGAGGACGGCGGGCAAAGTGGCTGCAGAGTGCGCTGCGCTGTCTCGAGCCTTGGCCGGAGCCCTGTGTGTGCACTGGGCTTGTTCCTTGTGCTTCACACTGATGACCCGTACACGGCCACTCCCTGTCCAAGTGGCCACCATGGTGCAGGGTGTAGCTGCAGACCAGAGCCCAGGCCGCCTATTCCCTCTGAGAGGAGAAACACACAAATCAGTAGCATTCATTTAGGTTCCCGCAAGGACACTGATAATAATACAAAGGCCCAGAGAGGGTCAGTGACTTGTCCACCGTCACATAGCAAGGGAGTGGCTCTGTGAGACAGAAATCAGGGTCTTCCCACTCCAGTTTCGTGTTTTGGAGGAAGGCGGTCTGTACGGAGGGGAAGGCGAGCTGTGGATGTTGCTGGCTACCATACAGCACACAGCGTGCGCGGCACATTTTCATCCTTTACCCTTTGTCTTTTCGGATTTAGGGGAACTGGTGCAGGCTAGGCAAGCGCTCTCCACTGAGCCCCACCCCCAGTCTCTACACCTGCCTTGCTTATTCCCACCTCCCCTGTTTCACAAGTGAGGCCGGGGAGGGGACGTGACCACCGTGGCCACCGTTGCCCCCCAAGGCCGCCGGCTCGCTGTGCCTGCGGTCTTGGTCCCCTGCAACACCCAGCGTCCACGCCCACCTGGGCCAGGTGCACTGCGTCAGCTGTAAGCCTCTTACTCTGCTTTCTGCGGAGTTGTTTTTCCAGCCTGGTCTCCTAAGGCTGGGCTGCTGCAGGTGCCACACCTGTGTCCCGCTGTCCCAGCTCCCACGCGATTGTTCCAAGCCTGTCGGGAGGGGTGGGGCCTCGGCTCAGAGACACCTGCTGGGGAGAACAAATGCCTGGAAGGGCCCCGGGCCTTGGCCCCATCTCAGTCTGGCCCTCAGCTGTTCTCCTCATGCGAGGTGCTCCAGCAAAACCGCGCGTGAGGCGCCCGGTGGCCCTGCGCCGGCAACCCCGTGGGATGGGAGTGGGGTTGCTGGAATGAAAAGCGGAACGCCCAGTTAAATTTGAATTTCAGATAAACGTGCGTTTCCAATCGAAATATTTCCTTGCACCCGTGGGAACATACGCCTGATAAAAATGATCTTGTTTATCGAAGTTCACGTTTCACTGTGCATCTGGGACTTCGTTGTTTTGTTTTGCTAAATGTGGTAACCTAAGTGGGCAGCACCCGTGCAGCACGTATGACAACCGCAACCTGGAGGAAAGACACAGGACACACACGCGGGGTCACGAGAAGGCCCTGACCATGCCTAGATCGCCACCTTCTAAATAGACAATAGTAAATGACCATGCTCACTTCCTCAGGGTGGTTTGGGGAAGCCTAGATGTCAATCCCCTAAACAAAATTAAGCAAACGCAAACAAAACCATCATACCTGTGTTCTGCCTGCATGGTAATTTGTATACAGGGACACACATCAGCAGTCACTCATGCCTTGTTGTGAAATAGGCTCTTGGTGACAGTTCGTGGGAACAGCTTCACATCCTAGCAGAATGGATAGCTGGAAGGTTATGGATGTAGGGGAGAAAATTCCAGAGTCTTGAGTCCTGCTAGAGATGGCAAGCCAGAGCGGGAGCACCAAGGGGTGACCTCTCCAGCTGCCCTTTTGCTCCCCTTCACTGTATCCCCAGTTATTGGTGGCTTGGGGCCCTCTGGTTTTCCAGCCTCCTGGCCTTTGCTTATGCTGTTCCCTCTCCAGGGCAGCCTAGTGCTCCAAGCACACGCAGCCCAACCGTGCATTTTGTTGACATGTGCATGCTTCTGCTCACTGGGGGCTTCAAGGCAGCTGGGATGCTCCTTCTGCCTTCTGGACACCTGCCCTGGGTCTGGAGTGTAGGTACCTGTCAGAGCTGGCCGGGAGGCCCCAAAGCAGACCTTCCATTTTGCAGATTGGCTGAGAGACTTGGATAGTCCCCAAGCTGTGCAGGGTCTGTTGGTGTCCCCAGTAAACAGGGACCCATCTGGGGTGTTCCCCAAGGCCTGAGGTCACCGTGCTCTCCTTGGGCTGATACTATGCTCTCCTTGGGCTTATCCCTGGGCTGGATTAATCACCATGAACCCCTCTGCCGTGCTGCCATGCCCATGTCCGGCAGAGCAGCAAGCCAGGAAGCCCCTTGGGCGTGTGCTCCTGACCAGAATGTCTTGCCGCACTGTTGCCTGGGTGTGGACTGACAGCGCTGGAGTATGCCAGGCTTTCTCCTGCCTTTATGACCTCCTGCCATTGCGTAATCTCCCCGAGCCTCAACATCCTGGTCTGAAAACAGGCTGTGACCGTACCTGACCCAGGATTCAGGCAGCAAATGAAACAGTGCTTTAGAGCGTAAGCCAGCATACTGCTTCTCTGGTTTGACACCGCTAGTTCCTAAGCCTGTGGTCATCAGGTGGACACTCAGGGCAGTGACGGTGGTGGTGGCATCCTTGGGCGTGTGGTGGGCTGAGGGTGTCAGCAGATGTGCTCTACAGACGGGGTGAGCCTGTAGTGGGGATGGGGAGCTTGTTCCTGCAAAGAGGGACAACCAGAGCTCCTTCGAGCTGTCCCCAAGACAAGCTAGCGAGCAGCGTCTTCTAACCGTGTGCCCTTCTCCCGTAGTGCTTCTGCGCGAAGAGGTGTCCCGGCTCCAGGAGGAAGTGCACCTTCTCCGGCAGATGAAGGAGATGCTGGCCAAGGACCTGGAGGAGTCGCAGGGCGGCAAGGCCTCCGAGGTCCTCTCAGCCACAGAGCTCAGGGTGCAGCTGGTGCAGAAGGAGCAGGAGCTGGCCAGAGCCAAAGAGGCCTTGCAGGGTGAGTGATGAGTGGCACTGCTCCCGCCTGGGCACCCACCAAGCCTGGCCCTTCTCTGGGCGGGATCCTGCGTTTCTCGGGTCGGAGGCAGATCTGGACCGCCGCATGTTGTCCTTGTGACAGCACATGAGCGCTTCCTTCCGGGTTGTGGATGGCAGGTGGGCGTCTTTGCTGGCCCCTGTCTCCCTGCACTCTGGGTACCTCTCCACGTGGCACAGTGGAAAGAAAAAAAAAGTGAAAAGAAAGAAAAAACAAAGCAGTGAAACTTGGCATCGTATTTTCCACTTACCATTTACAATGACTACGCTGAGGGGCTGGGGATTTAGCTCAGCGGCAAAAGCGCCTGTCTGGCAAGCGCAAGGTCGTGAGTTCGGTTCCCGGTACCAGAGAAAAACAAAAACAAAAAAAAAAACAATACAATGACTACGCTGAAATTTCCTTTCTGCTTCCAAAGCTGGTTTATTTGGTTGACATCATGCTTTTACTAAGGGACCTCAAAACATTGGCTGAAAGGTTCGGACTCTCCTTTACCCATCCCGCAGAGCACGTTTCAGAGTGGTCGGGGTCTGTGCCCTTCCTGGTCTGTGAGAGGCTCTAGAAGGAGCCCCAGTTCAGGTCCTGAGATTGTGCTTGGCGGGAGCTTGACCATGCCCCTACCTTGCTGCAGGGGGCCTGGGAAGCCTGTTTCTAGCTGGCGGGTCATGTCTCAAGGGGGGCTGTGTCTCAAATGTGGGGTGAGGCATAGCTGGCACTGAGTTAGTTCTGTCACAGCAAAGGGGATCTGTGTAGCTGGCCATGAGGCTGGCAGTGCAGCGCCCCACGCAGCACCCCAGGATGTCGGGCACATCGTCATTCAGGGTGAGCCCAAGTCTTCAGCGTGTTTGATGAGGATTTTTCTCAGCAGTACATGTGGGTCCCAAAGGCAGGTGGACCCTCCTCTGCTGTTGGGCGTTTGCTTCCGGTGGGTCCCCGAGGTAGGTGTGGGCCGAGGTGGCCCAGCTGACGCTGGATGTTTGGAAGGTCATTTCACAAGAATGCGTGCTTTCTGTCTATGCAGCCGTCCTGCATGCAGGCGGATCCCTGGAAACTGCCCTTCAATGTCAGTCTCAAAGACTTTGAACCTCTGTTCCCCTCCCAGGGTGGAGCGCAGTCCTGGGACTTTCCCATGGAGGCGCTGCCAGCCCAGGGTGTGCAACCGACATCTGTGGTCTCCTGTGGATTGGGACTGGTGCAGGAAGCAGCCAAACACTATCGCAGCCTCCTTTCCCAGAACCTAGTCCAGGGGCTGACCTCCCTTCCCTGGGCCTGGCTGGGATCAGAATTCCGGGTCTTCTGGACCGGGGAGGAGGAGGGTCCTGGCCCAGTCTCCTGTCACTCCTCAGCTCCTCCGACATCCTCCCAGCATCTACAGATTTCACTTTCCAGACTGGAGTGATGGGACAGGAATGGTGGCTTCCGGGAAGAAGTAAGATAACAAGGCCATGTATGTGAAGTGGGTAGCCTGGCCTAGTGTGTGCTCCTTCCCCTTCAGCCTTCGAGGCACTGGCACGTACAGTGGACCCTCTTGTGTGTTTGGGATATGCTCAAGGCATTCTGCGCATTCCGGAAACCACAGACAGTGCCGAACTCCGTACCCTGTGTGTTCTCCTATGCATACGTACCTATGGCAACGTTTAACTTATAAATTAGGCACAGTAAGAGCGTCACAGTAATAACTACTAATAAAGCAGAGCAATTACAATAATGTGCTGTACTAAAAGTTATTTAAAACTTACAAACTATTTATTTCTAGAGATTCGTGTATGATATTTTCAGCCTCTGGTTGACCACGTACAGGTGAAAGCACAGAATGCGAATCTGTAGATAAGGGGGCTCCTAGCAGGGGATTTCTTTCCACCTTTGGACCAGGTGATGCCCCATCTACCGATCGGCCCATAGGTGGCTCCTTTGTAGGAATGACAGTACGGACAGCAAGAACCTGGGGCCAGCTTGCTGCTTGCACTAAATACATTATCGTTCGCTCCAATCCTGCTAGGAGCTCTTAACCCCTGGTCACTGGCTGAGGTGCCCAAATAAGGATCAGGAAAGCTAAGTAACTTGGTTAAGGTCACAGAGCTAATTAGCGGCAGAGACTTTTCCTACTGTATCAGCACAGCGCATCTTAGCTCCAGGTGTCACTGGGAATGAGATTGGCCTGGATGCAGGAGACCAAGGCCATGTAGTTCAGTCATGGAAATGGCAGGCTCCAGAGTCCCGCCCGGGGTCAAATCCCAGCTCTACCATTTTCTAGCTGTGTGACCTTTGATAAATTACTCAGCCTTCCGGAACCACACATAGTTCCTTTGCTAAGGATAATAATAGCTGTGTTTCTTATCATTGGAGCCAATAATAGTAGCAGCTTCCTAGTCTATGAAGATTAAATGAGATATGAAGTGCTTGGCCCCATGCCCAGTACTTAGTGATGATCAGATGAGTGAGGGCTCAGCAGACCTCCCCGCCGCTTGGAGGTGTCGGTTGCCTGATTCCCATTAGGGGTGGCCCAGAGCTATGACACCTCCTGAGGTCATTCTCGCTCAAAGCAGCTGTGTCCCTGAAGGGCATTGAAGTGGGCACTTCCAGCCACCCCAAGCATCTGCCTGGAATTCTCCACAGTCATAAATGAGGCGCTTCCTCGCCAGCCTCAGCACGTGGGGTGTAAATTGCAGACAGATGTGGGCAGGGGGAGGCTGGAGCACAAGGAGGGATTTAAATGCCATAACGAGGAGAAGGAGGATAAACGCACAGGCGGAGGAGGCAGCAGATGTTGGGCGACACTTGTTAACAGCCAGCGTCCAGGGCTGGGGATTTAGCTCAGCGGCAAAAGAGCCTGCCTGGCAAGCGCAAGGTCGTGAGTTCAGTTCCCGGTACCGGAGAAAAACCAAAATAAATAAATAAATAAATAAATAAAAACAGCCAGCGTCCCTGTAGTAGGAAAAGGCAAAGGTTTCCACTCCTGCAGGTCCCCCTCCACCTGCCCACCCTGGTCGTGCGGTTTGGATGAGACCTGCGTTTTCCAGCATGTGAGAGGATTAGGAACTCAAGCAGACACCTGAAATGCAGTCCATGGTGCCAGCGTCAAAGCGATGAAGACCATGGAGCTGAGCAGAAAGGGGCAGGGCTTAGAAGCTTCCTTTGTTCCCTTGGATGGCAGCTTGAGCCTATTTGCTTGAAGAGTTTGGCTCCCGAGCTTAGCAGCAGAAGCCCTGACTGATTATGGTTAGGAAAGTACGATGCCTCCTATGTGCAAACATAGCCCTGATCCCTGCGTGGCCCCGCCCTGCACGCGGCTGGGGTTGCAGCACCTGCGCCTCTGTAGATGGCGGGCATCTGTGGATTGATTGCCCCAGGCCTCCTCACTTTCACAGTTTGCCTGTGAGTCAGGGCATCCCAGAAATCACAGTAATGAAAATTTGCTTCTTTCATTTGTTAATCTCCTAACAGCGTGTTGAACGTGTTAAGCATTTTCCCACAGCAATAAATATCCTTCGCAAACATAATTTTAATGACTACATAATGTCCTATCAAATGAAGGTGCCAAAATTTATGTGGCCATTTCCCTGTTATTGGACATTTGAGTCGTTTGCATTATTTTTCTGATTCTTTCTTACTTGCCCTTACATAACACAACGGTGAAGGTAAACCTATTCGTTTCCTTAAGGCAGCGTTTCTCAAACTTTTTGGTCCGAGAACTGCTTTAAATGCTTCTGAAATGGAAGACCCCAGAGAGTTTGAGTTTCCACAGGTTAAGTCTAGCGTTCCTGACCATTCTAGAAATTAAAACTGAAATCTTCAGTAATTTATTTTTGAAATAATGATAAGCCCATTCTATGCCAGCATGAATAAAAAACTTTTTAATGAAAAGTATCTTTTCTCAGACAAAAGGATTTGAGTAAAGGAGAAGCTTTTAAAAGAATTTTTTTTTTTTTTTGCAAAACTGCTTGATGCCTGGTTCAGAGCAGCCTGCCGCCTCCTCTCCGCTCCCTCAGTCTGTCGTGGTTTGTTGTTTTAGTTAAAAATTGGGCATCACAGATATACAGTTGGAAAACAGAGGAGTGTATTAATTGCCTTATTATGTAATTGTGGATATTTTCTCTTGGTACCGTGCTCAAACTCATGGTGTGGCATTTTCTTGAAAGCTTATTGTACTGTAGAATCCAAATCCTTAGCCAGTGAAGTCTGTGCACTCTGCTACATTAAAGTCCATTGACTCTATTTGCATATTGGGTGGAGAGTTTCCCCGCATGATTCTTTAAATATCACACATTGATCAACATGTTTGATCATGCGGTGTAAAAAAGTCCGTGTGTTAATATCGCCTCCAGTCTCACCAGAAAAATACAGAGAAGCTTTAAAAGTCATGGTGGCAGATTAAGTTTGCCAAAAGTCAGATTTTTTTGCTTGAATGACCAAGTTTTGTCATTGGCAATAGATAGTGTTGTTGTTTTCCTACAGGTAAGAGGTCCTCATAGCTCATTTGTTAGTGTACTTCATCAGCTTCCAGACTCCAGATTGCTGGGCAAGCCATTCTTTCAGGCGCAGATGGGCTTCTACAAGCAGTGGCTAGTTTAGCTTGCAACTCAGACAGATATGCAGATGTCTCTCCTGGAGATGGCTGGGTCAAGCTTTAATAAAGTTAATCATTTTTACTGCTTCATTAATCGCTTCCTTTTTATTCTTCAGTGCTAAGGATTGAACCCCGTGTCTTGTATATGCTAAGCACAAGCTCTACCACTGAGCCACACTTCCAATCCTATTTAAGACTCTGAAGCAAAATTGTGGGTTTTATAAAGTGGTGAAGGCATAATGCAAAAAAACGAAAACAAAATCCAGTGGCTTCTAATGCCTCCATGAATTCTGCTGAAACGTCAGCATTTTACCCACCATGGCTTTTGCACCAACAATGAAATAATACACAGGGATCTTTTAAAAAGGCAAATAGCATCATGATCTCCTTAGGAGGA